GCCTGCCAATGAAAGAACATCTCGGCCAACCCCAAATTGTCACCGTTCTAAGGGGCCGCCCAGGGAACTATTGCCATCTCAGAGCTATAGTGCGGGCTCTAATATAATCTCTATATGCGGGGTTATTTTTTCGGCTCATATAACTGGGCTTATAACCCTACTTATAATCCTCCTAAATGGGCTTATAGGGGTTACCCCAATTATAAGTAGGGTTTTAATGCCGGGTATAGGTACTTGCTAAGTCCCATGGGCCTCAAAGTAGCCTGAGCATCTTGGGCTGCAAGGCCCAAGAGCAACTGGCGGAAACATGGGATGCAGCAAGAACTACCGCATTTCTGCAGGTACCCACGTACCAAACGCAAGCTTCTTATCCAGCACCCAGGGTATATAATATGCTATAACATACTCTAATATACCATAATAGGGGTCTCCATTTCCTTTTCCACTATCCCTATATAACCCCTAAATGGTTTACTATTTTAATAGTTTGAACATCCCGCGGACCCCAAAAAGGGTATCACTAGTGGTGGGAAACCCCCTACACCCTAAACCCTATGATACCCTATGTATCCCTATATATCCCCGTATACCCCTCTATTGCCCCTATATCCCCTTAAAGGGTACCCCTACGTACTTTTCCCTTTTTCCCATCATCTTGGAGGGTTTCTAGGGTTACATGATGTTTTGTGGGGTTCTATGGGGTAATATGGGGAGATATGAGGCGAAAAAGGGGAATCCAATAGAAAACAACATGGACAATGACACGGAAACTGGCAAGGAACACCAGAAACTTTTTTCATGTCTTATATCACTCTGCCGAGCCTAGGGCCTAGATATAAACCAGTATGCCATGAGGAATCAGTATAGTTATATATGGGGCTTTATCAGAACTTTACTTATGAACCCTCCCCTAAAAAACCTACCAGAAACCCTGCGTTGGCTGATAAGGACGAAGCACTTGCTGCGCTTCTGCCCTTCATCTCCTCCAGGCCGTTCAAACCTTGGTAGGCAAAGGCACAAGAAACCCTTCATCTACTCGCGGCCAACTGTAGGAAATGGAGAATGTAATATGGAGATGTCTACTGAATTGGGGATTAAAGAAAGTTCATCTGACAATCCATTCCTCGATTCCCTACAAAGTGCCCTGGAGGCAAAAGGGGAATGTCGAGCAAGGCGGGGAAGGCCACAAGCATTGAAGGAAGTACAACGGGCTTGGGGCCACTCCGAGTTTCCGGTTTCCGGAATAGACCCATTCCGGGGTTTAGTGAAACATAGCGCAGTGTTGCTTGGAGCGTTGATAGCTTAAAGCCTGGCAGCCTGGCCTTCAAGCAACGCAGCAACTATACCACTGCCCTTACTACTGTTGCTATGACCATTTATGTTTCTGTCACTGTTGCTGTAATTTTAACTAGAAGTTTGATGGGAGTCGCGGCAGCACGTCACGCAGCCGCATCATCCATAGCACTCCGGATGCATATTATGAAATCTAAGGCAAGACTGGCTGAAGAACGGTAAGTACCGAACAAGCAGCACCTTTACCGGCACCCCCAAAAACATAGTGTGGCCCAAGAAGCTTCTTCACGCGGACGTTGACCAGCGGTTCCTCACTTCTGCTGCCCGTGGGGATCAAGTCTCGCAGCCCGTACCTCAGGTGTGTTGCAGTGCGCTTGCTCTAGGCTCATGGGGAATAGAATGCCCGAGCTTAATCCCAAAGCGTACTAGGTCATGGGCAACAGAGCCTGAACAACACCAGCAGAGATCACAAAAAATCTTGAGCATCAAACAAGTCCACCAACTTACCCTTCAGGCTCCTCAAGGGTCTACGCTCCAGCTTCCCATGAGTACCCCATAGCCAGGGTCCAAAAAAACCTTCAGAAAGGGAGGAAGAGAGCCCAACAAGATGCGCACTCATGTACACTCTCACGGCCGAAGGAGGGTGGGCAGGGGCAAGTCCAATCATCCGTGACAAGGCGCAGCGAGAAATGCAGCGTAGCCTTCTTAAGCTTGGAGAAGTGCTTCTTTGGGTCGAACTCTTCCTTCCAAGCTCTTCAAGTACGGTCTAGATGGAGGGGTAAAGGCCCAGCTCAGCCCACGTGCTGCAAAGCCACTACTAACAGACTCAGCCAGACACTGAACATCCTACCGCCAACACAAAAGTCGGGCTCTTGCGGATTCCATGCAGCTTAGCGCCTGAACTTGACGGTTCCCCTTCTGATTTCGTCGAATGACGGTGCCTCCAATGTGGATACTGCCCCACCCTCCAGCAGTCGTATGTAAGACCCTTTTGAAGTTCTTAGCCTCAAGCTTTCAAGCAGTGCCTGCCCCGAATAAAGTCCTTCACTGTGGGCTGCATAAAAGCCAGGAACCCCTGGCAAAGGCTTTAGAACCCAAGCGCCCCCCCAAACCCTACCCTCAAGCAAGCAAGCCCTCAACCCTGGACTCATAGTCCCCCTTAGATAAATAGAATATGGCTTTGGGTATATTGTAATAAGGTCCCCATATATCCCAATATACATCACATTCTATTCCCTATAAAACCCATTATAGTAGTTTCCATTTCCTTTTCCATTATCCCCATAGAAACCCAATATAACCCTAATATTACCCCATATTCTATCTACTTAAGGGGTACTATAACCCCAATATATGCCCTATTATACTATAGTAGTTTCCATTTTCTTTTCCATCATCCCTATATAACCCCAATAACATCCCCCATATTCTATCTACTTTTGGGGGACTATATTCCCCTAGTTTCCATTTGATGTTCAATGATATTTTCCATTTGATTCTTCATTACAGGGTGAAAATAGTGGATATTCTATCTACGCAAGGGGGACTATAACCCTTTTTGCAGTGGGTCTCAAGTACGAGCCCAACTTGCCCGCCCGGGCGCTTATGCAAGCACCCTAAACCCTATATTAGATCTACTTAAGAGGGACTATAACCGCCTCTGACACAGGCCACATCTGGATGGCCGGCAATTCGGCTCGGAACTTGGAGTGTAGCAGCTCGAAGCCTACCACTTGGAGGGTCAGGGGGAGTTAGCAAGTAGGTTAGGGTTTAGGTGTTGTTTTAAAGCGCTCTTTGGGGTTTAGGGTCAGGGGGACTTAGTAAGTAGGTTAATAAGGAAGATAATTGAGGTTACTATATGGGTTATAGGGGTCATTGACCTACTTACTAAGTCCCCCTGACCCTCCAAGCAGGGACCCAGCAACTGAAGCTCCCTTCATGATGATGAGGGGTTTAGGGTGTAAGGGTTTTCGTTTCGACGTTTGGTTCTTAAGGCTTAGGATCTAAGCGGTAGGGTTGAGGCCTTGGGGTTTTGGAAGTAGAAATTCCCTCATGTAGACTCAGTCCGGGCAGATGTAATGATCCTACATACACAAGTAGATAGAATACACGGAACCTATGGGGGAGCATAGATGATACAGGGGTCTTGCAGGGTGGCTGGCACGTGCTGAAATCAAGACATTTGCATCTTGGCCAGTGGCCTGGACTGGAAGCTCCTTCCAGGGCCATCTTGCTCGCCATCTCATTTCTCCTACTACGTACCTTTCCTAGCCGCCGCATGCCCTACTAGAAATCCCAAGGACTGCCATGTGACCAGAGAAGCTGATTGAAAGACCAACAACGCTCAAACATTCCCCGCGCCTATGAGGACTTCACCCATGGCAACGCTGCCGTAGTTCCCGCCAAAGAGCTGGACCCACTGAGGCTTCAAGCCTAGGAGAGACTTCTCGGCTGGCCCCTAGAAGCAAGTGAGCGTTTGGGATCTAGGGGTGTATGGGGTGTACACTGGGCTTATGTAAAATGTAAGGATATACTGACGTTGAGGGAAGGTTCTGCTCCAAATTGCCGGCTCCTTTAGGTCACCTGTCCTGCCGGGCACCTGGTTTCTCTGGCTACTTCAGGCTATTTCTCAGGCTACAGAATGGGCCCTTCCCTATGAAACTACGTACGAAGGATACCCTCAGAGATCCTCAAACAGAAGTCAATCATTCAACGCCAGCTACGGACATGAAACCTACCATTTGAGCTATAGGCCAAACTCCTAGGATAAGCCCCATAATACTCCCCTGTATAATCTCCGATATAACTAAATAACCCCCTTTAAACCTCCCATTTGGGTTGAAGGTTGTTTAGGGTTAAGGGCTGAGGGTACTGGATGCAACAGCACATGCCTTAAAATCCTGGAAGTGTCCTACGTAGAAAATTCCAAAAAAATAATAACCGGAAAGAGCACCCAATAGTAAACCCTCCAACCCTCATCTTAGTTACAGTAAGTCAGTAGGGAATAAAGGAATATCATCCCTAAATCATCTCTGAAAATACATTCTCCCTTATTTCCTACTAACCCCTCAGTAAGTATTGTATACCAAAATCCCGAATATACATATAGAAGCTGAATAGCTTCCATTCCTTTTCCATTATTCCCTATATTTATAGCCCCAATATCCACCCTAAACCCTTTTTATACCCTTTGACAGAGCTGAGTACGGCCAGGCAGCGGAAGGGTTCCCACCTGCCCATGTTGTCCTTTTGCCGCATGTACCTCGAAGGTCGCGAGGTTTCATAACATGGTGGCTACGAAATGGGGCGGTTTTATAAGTGTTTCATATGCATATGTAGGGGTATATTTCTTATAGGGACATATGAGGGTTTACTGTGGAGCATGAGTTGTATGTAGAAATGTGCGGCTCAAGGCTCGCCAAGGCATGGGCCCCGATATTGTGACACGGATATGTCTGAGGGACTTTGTTTTTGATACTGACCTTCCCATGCTGCTTCCTTTGTGCGCAAATAACAAATACGCTTCGGTGTTTTCTAGGTCTGACACGGATGGTAACGCCATAGGATACAGGTGCAACAAGTTCTGTCTTGTCAGCCGGACACAGATAATCCCCAAGGAAAAAAGCAACGCAACGTGATGTTTTACGCTTGTACAGGAGGGTGCGCAGGCAACCTGTTACAATATACTTATCCAGAACTGAAACAGGCGTGTCCGAGGGGCTCATAGGTGCACACGGTCTTTCCAATGTCCCTGTCAGCCTGCAGCATGTAACGCTCGTGAGGGCAACTTGCCACTGGATCATCGAAAAGGATCTGATATGCTGTAAGGTCAAAACTCTCCTGGGTTTTTCCCTCAGGATACCTTCAACAAACTGTCTATGGTTTTTTTCACATTTTGAGCTCGTCACAAGTTTCGGGGCATTGGACTTGACAAATGGCCAATACAGTTTTTCTTGCCTGGACCTGGGGTCACAGTACCGTGCGGCTTGTAAGGTTCGGGGCTTTCCAAAACTCAATTGCTGGCATTTCCTGACGCATGAAGCAAGAGCAAGCTAAGTTTATGCTTGCTGTTGAATAATTCTTGTGTGACTGGCAGCCAGCCTAAACAGCAGGGGGATTCCTGAAAGCTGTGATCCTTTTGAAAAAGCCGCATGCATCGCCTTCCTCCGTGAACTACAACCCAAACCCCTCAAGGATCCAAAAAAGGAAACCCCTAATATTCCCCTAGTTTTCCCAATGTAGACATGGGTTCATATAGGGGGGGTTCCATTTTTTGGGATCCTTTAGGGGGTCTGGGTATTTCCCAACCACCTTCGCGATCCCTCGGGCCTGAGAGGCTACACTCCAAATGCCTGACTCCTTTGCGCTCAACATGTCACAAACACCCCATTCCTGTGTTAAACCCCAGTATTCCCTAGTATACTATAATAGTTTCCATTTTCTTTTCCACTATCCCTATATAACTCCAATATTTCTATATGAGACCCCAGGGCAAAAACAATCTTGACCGCTAAGTTGAGGCCTCCAAAAGCTTTCTTCGGGCTGCAAGTAGGGATACAAACCTACTGCGGCCGCTTGTTGACTCCAGACTTGGGAGATCTCAAGAACGGACTGTGCCCCCAACGTCGAGATGGGAAGTTACACTGCGTTTTACACCGTACTTGGAGGGTCAGGGGCACTTAAAAACTTGGTTAAGAAGGGGGTAATTAGGGTACACTTATAGGGTTATTAACATACTTACTAAGTCCTCCTGACCCGCCAAGTATTCAATCTGCTTGAGCAGGACTTAACCCAGACTCCTCCACCCAGAGCCCTCCTCTACTCGCCCCATTGGGAACCCCTCCCCTGCTGTTGAACACTACAAAGTGTGGTATTGAAACACATTGCTGGGGAACACTTGTGATAATATTTTTCCAACAAGGGCCCTAAACCCTAAGCCACTCAACCCTGTAACCCCCGAATCCTACGACCTGAACCCTCGCTTTTTTCCATGACTATGACTATGACTATTGCTATTACTATTCAGGGGCCTTGACCCCCAAAACCGTCCGGCTGTCCAACAAGGTCACTGTGATCGGCTCCATTGTTGGAGGCTCCTAGCTTGCTAGCAGCAAAGATATAAATGCAAAAATGTATCTACACGCTCTGTAAAATGAATATGTACATAAGGATGCATAGCATTTAGTGTTTAGGGCTTCTCCTCTCCCACCCTGCCTTGGAATCTGAGGATTGCTTTTCTGTTGACTTTTATTCTTTTCAAATGGCTCTATTTGAGATATGGAGGACATTTGGGGATGGGTTCCCGTTCCCAAGCCCGAATCTGCAAGCCTTTCACTGCCCAAACACCTTGGCGGAGGATAGCCTACTGCCCGCAATCTTGTTCCAGGTCAGGAAAACCCCCCAGATCCGTGACGCTATTTGATTATGCCGGGCTTTTGGGGACTTCCAGTCCTTAGCCTCAAGCCCCCAACTCCAAACCGCGAAGCCCTGAGTCCTGCTCCCCAACACCCCTCAAAACCTATAATGATAAGCCATGTGGCCACAACCTACTATTTGTCTGGAAATACAATCCCTGAAGCAAACAGTGAAGCCATCAACAGGTCGGCTCAAGCGCAAATGTCCCTTTGTATCCGCCCCAAGAAACCTCCTAAACCTCCCAACCTAAGCCTTGTTGTGGGCCACCCAGGTCCTTTGGGTGGTCAGAGCAAAGCGTAACTTTTAACTCCAGCGGTTTCATCCACATGGGCCGCACCTGTGAGCAGCGTAGAGGCGCTGTTGAGGCTGCGGCGATTCGACTTTTGTTTAGGGGCTTCAAAGGTTTGGATGGCCTAGTGGTCTGGCACAACGACTGGCCAGTAGGCGGAAATATGCTCGTAAATGCTCTGCCACAACAATCAACTAGGCAAAGTACCGCTAAAATATGTGCAGAACCGCCCCCAACCTTTTCAGGCCTCAACCTGGAAAGTCTTATTCGTAGGAGATATGTCACTCCGCCTGCCCAAACTCCGGGTCGGTGGTCTTGGAAATGCCAGCACAGGCCACGCGGAGAGCGAAGTTAGCGCTGGCAGTATCTACCTGCATGCTGCATTGTTACACAGCAGTTTCCAGAAAAAAGGGGGGCCCAATTTTTCACACCCCAATATGAGTCTGTTGGTAGTAATATAGGTACCCCGAAACGGATCCTCAATTTGGGAAACCCTTCATCTAGGAGGTTTCTAAAATAGGGCATCCTGGAAAACAGCGGGATGCCTGGAAGTCTGGAGGCTTCCAGGCATTCCTACAGGGTTTAGGGTTTAGGGTATTCCGTGTTTTTTGAGAAGCTCCCAGAATGGTTTTAAGCGTTATATAGGGTTGTGAAGGTCGAAGAGTGATTAGTGGCCGCCCTGATTAGGCTATGTCGGGATCGTAAGGGTTGTAGGGCGATTCTATGTGGTGCTTGCCGTGTGGTACTTGTAATACCAATGCCAAACATGGTACAGTCGGGGTACACATCGGGATCCTGACTGCAGTTCCCTGTCTGGGGGGTAAACTTACGTTCAAAACAAGGGACCTTGGGTGACCTTGGGCACTCAACGGGTACATTGTGTTTGCAAAGGGGCTAGGGGAGTCCTGCTTGATGACTGATTGGAGGGAGCTGCTTTGACAAGCTCGCCTTACAGGAAACAAGATTGTACTCGGAATCCAAATGTAAGGACAGGTGCCACGCTGAAGTAAGAAAATCTGGAAATGATATTGGTGCCGTTCTTAGGATCTTCCTTGGGGTTTACAGGGATCGTTCTACCTGCGTACGCGCGGAGTTTCTTGAAGATGACAAAAGACAGTCTCAGTCAGAGTTACACAAGTGATCTTGGGGGCTTTAGGTTTTGGGAGAGGCAGTGCGCAAGATGTGCATGCAAGGCCGAGCTTACAACACACAAACACCATTTGTGCCTTGATCAAACCCGCTGCCTTCCGGGGAGAATCTTTGATGATAAATTAGAGACAAGTCTATCGGACTAGAGGCCACTTCGACCGTGCCATTCAAATATGATGGAACAGTTCCTCTCGTATGAGTTCAACCTGCCCTTCCTTCATATCAGCTACAGTCTAAACTCCTCGTAACCCCCTTATAGCCCCTATACTCTATAGTAGTTCCCTATGTAAGTTCCCCTATATAACCCCCCTTTAAAGAGTCATAGCTCATACAGCCCGGGGCTGCCTTGATGTTGCGTGCCATGAAAACATAAGCACGGACTATGTAGACCATGGGCTTCACGGTCCTGTGGCCAGGTGTTCCGGTTGCGCTTCAGGGTGCTGGGCTTACTGTGTTGGGTTGCTGCCCATCTAAATGACCAGCCCAGGACGTCTGGGAGCTGACACAGATAACTCTTAGCGCTTCCTTGACAAATCAATCGACGAGTTAAGGGTAGCCGGTAGAGAAGCACAAGGCTTCGGCTGCCAAGTTTTCTTCCGTATCCTGCTGCATCCTTCATCCAACCAATGCTCACGCAGCTACAGGGTATGAGCTGGACCCTCCGATGACCCTCGTCGAAGTGAGAAATCATTGCCCCGGCCTCCTATTGTGCCTTGGCACATCATCGGTGGTGAAATGCTCAATAACCATGAGGACAGAGCCCGGGATCCGCGCATGCATGTTGAACCTTGGTGTGCGCAGAACTTTTGCATGGGGCCTCTGGCTCTGGGTTCCCTGGTTCCCTGGACCTATCATCATACAGGAACCACTCCCGCCCATGCTTTGGAAATGGTAGCAAGTGAGCTGGACTTGCACTCCGCAATCGAAAGGCTTGGCGAGAGGGACCCGGAGTCTTTCTCTGATGTCGCCTACTCAACTCTGTCGCACTTGTAGTAGTTTTCCTAGAATGACCAACTAGCCGTGCTACCTTCTGAATATCACCAAGAGCCCTTGTCATGTGCACCTTGGAGGAAAATCTGCCAAAGTGGTAGATTTCCATCCCGGGAAGAGATTTTCTCACTTTCGAAAGCTCACACTTCGAAGTCCAAGACCCCTCGAACCCGCCAAGCGACGGCATTGGTTCCAACGGAATGTAGCGCGGTCTCCCTGGGTTTCCTGGAGAGGTCTTAGACTCGTGTTCTGTCAGGGTCCAACGCTCTTATTCTGACATGTTGGTTCTTGGACCGTGCAAGCATGGGGTGTCGAGCATGATCTGAGACGCTCACCGAACAAGTCTGCAGAGTTCTGATGTCAAGAAAGGTTGCTTTTGGGAAAGCAGCCATGACAAAGCACAAATCCAAAGTCTGAAGTTGGACTTAGACACAAGCCCAGCTTTTAATCGTCAGCCAGAAATCCAACTACATGAAAACTTGAGTAACTTAGATGGGCTCAAACTAAGCTGACCGGCTAGGTTCGCTGGCTGCCACAGGCTCAGACTCTAAAAGCGTCTAGCCATCCAAAGAAGCAACATCTGCCTTACACCAGCCCACTGTCATCGTATCCCACTTTGGCATTCTCTTCGATAAAGAAAACCTGGTGAGGGCAAGACACAAAGGCAAGCCGAGTCACCAGGTTCGTACTTCCTGAAATTTTCCAGCTGCCTCATGGCGTAGCCCACACGGACCTTTCCCGAGAGGACTCCACGGGTGAAGACGTTAACCTTCAGGGCGCTGGAACTTTTACACATTTCCCTCGGGTCCCGCCCACACCCATAAACAGTCTATAGTAGGTGTCAGATAAAAGGGCTATCTATAGCTATCTTCTACCTCTTCTCCAAATGTTAAGGAGTGAGGGCAGCACCCAACGTATCCTAAACCCCTAAACCCCTAAACCCCTAACCCCTAAACCTCTACCCCTAAACCCTAACCCCTAAACCCCTAAACCCTAACCCCTAAACCCCTAAACCCCTAAACCCCTAAACCCCTAACCCCTAAACCCCTAGACCCTAACCCCTAACCCC